GCCACAATTGGAATTCAGGAATAATAATAATACCACCACGTAGCATTATTGTGAAGGTTAAATAATCCTTTATGATAACATGTATAAAGTAAATATATGATGAGAGTAACACAAAGGACAAGAGGGGATGAAAAAGGAATTATACCAAATATACTGATAAGTATATTCTTTTTTAAAAAATACATATTTTATTGATTTTTTACAGAGAGGAAGGGAGAGAGATAGAGAGCCAGAAACGTTGATGCAAGAGAAACATCGACCAGCCAACGTACATGCCCTTGACCGGAATTGAACCCGGGACCTTTCAGTCCGCAGACCGACGCTCGACCACTGAGCCAAACCGGTTTCGGCTGATAAGTATATTCTTATGATATGCATGAAACGGTATAATCATAACTAGGGATAGTCTGTGATAAATTCAAAATGAATATTGTAATCCCTGAAGCAATCACTAAAAATAAATTACAGAAGTATATTGTATCATAACATGCCATTACATTATAGAAAAGCTAATAAAATGAAATAATAAAAATAATTCAAAAGGAAGCAGGAAATGAACAAAGAAACAAACGAATAGCCAGAGGATAGACTTAAAGTTAACCTTATCAGCAATTACTAAATTAGATTAAAAAGCTGACGTCATGCCGAAACCGGTTTGGCTCAGTGGATAGAGCGTCAGCCTGCGGACTGAAGGGTCCCAGGTTCGATTCCGGTCAAGGGCATGTACTTTGGTTGCGGGCTCGCCCCCAGTGCGGGGTGTGCAGAGGCAGCTGATCGATGTTTCTCACTCTCTATCCCTCTCTCTTCCTCTCTGTGAAAAAGCAATAAAGTATATTTTAAAAAATTAAAAAAAAAAAAAGCAGACGTCTTTAACCTGGATAAGCACATGTTCTAACCAGAAAATTTTCTTGACCTTTCACCAGGATCACATACTCTCTCTCCATCACCTTCTCTAAGTCATTTTCTCAGCACTTATTATCTCATACTTCTCTAGTTGTTGTTTTTCAAGTAATTTCTCCTCATTAGAACTTGTACGGGGCTGTTGGTTGGATAAATGAACCAAATAAAAAAGTGGCCTGAAGAGGACATAGATTTGTGGACAATACAGATTAAAAACTCATCAACCACAGATAGGGATTACATCTATGTATTTTATATATATTTAAAATGTATTTTTTATATGTAATTATTATATATTTTAATATATATATATATATATATATATATATATATATATATATTAATTTAGGAGAGGAGGGGAGAGGGAGAAAGAAATAGAAACATCAATGATGACAGAGAATCATTGATAGGCCTCCTCCAGCACACCCCACACTGGGGAACGAGCCTGCAACCTGGACATAAGTCAGGACCGGGAATTGAACTGTGACCTCTGATTCGTAGGACAATCCACTGAACCATTCAGGCTTGAGAAGATTATATAAAAATATCTACATTTCAGAAGAGGAGATTTTGCATAACAAAAACATGTCAACAAAGCAATTCATTTAGAACAATAGTCCCTATCAACAGTGAATTCAGATTCCAGAATGCTAAAAATCTCTTCCCCACCCAGAAGATTTACTACAAATCCTGAGGTGTGCTTCCTTCTGGCTACACGTGACAGCTATTAAAGCGGCCGAAAGTTGTCTCGCGTTAGGGTGTTGCAGACTTGTGTGTCAGAGGAGTGGATGATTCCCACCTGGTACCAGTGGATGCTAGATTGGAAGAACAGGTAAGAATCAGGGGTCTTCAAACTTCTCTCATTATGAGAATCACCTGGTGGAGTTGTTAAAACACAGATTCCCGGATCCCAACTATAAGAAGTGCTATCAGGAATCTGTGTTTTAACACCTCCACCAGGTGATTCTCATAATGAGAGAAGTTTGAAGACCCCTGGGTAAGATGGATGGGCTGACAATGAAGCTTTATAGGTGGACGGATCACCCATAGTTTCCATCAGGATGACTGGAAACCTTGGCAAAGAAGCCTTCAAGCCAAACAAGAAAACTTGATGCCCTCCGCAAACACAGAAGCTTCAAGCAGTTTACCGGTAGATTGCCACCCATAAACTTCTAGTCTACTAACTATTTGCTAAACCTCTACTACGGGATCCAAGTGTGCAGGGAAAGCAATAGCCTTTCCTCCTCTAAAATGAGCGCTGGTTGTTTTGGTTGGTTTGGTTGGAGCATCGGCTTGTGAACCAAAGGTTTGATTTCTGAATTCCCTGCGAAAGGCACTTAACCCCAGTTTCAGGTATTGTGTTGTTGTTAACCTTTGTTGTTGAAAATATTACATAGTTCCTTCTTTTCCCTCTATTAACTTCTTCCAACCTGGCCCCGTCCCCCATTCCCTCACTCCCCCATTGTCTTTGTCCCTGGGTTATGCATATATGCATACAAATTCATTGACTGGTCTCTTCCCACCCACCCTTCCCCGCCTTCCCTCTGAGGTTCAACAGTCTGTTCAGGCTTTTATGTCTCTGGATCTATTTAAAAAAAATATTTTTTTTTATTGATTTTTTACAGAGAGGAAGGGAGAGGGATAGAGAGTTAGAAACATCAATCAGCTGCCTCCTGCACACTCTCTACCGGATACGTCCCCCAACCAAGGTACATGTCCTTGACCAGAATTGAACCTGGGACCCTTGAGTCCATGGACTGATGCTCTATCTACTGAGCCAAACCGGTTATGGCCATGTATTCTTTCTGATGAGTGTTTTGGGTTTCTTAGGATATATTCCTAGAGGTGGGATCACTGGGTCAAATGGAAGTTCCATTTTTAATTTTTTGAGGAAACTACATACTGTTCTCCACAGTGGCTGTACCAGTCTGCATTCCCACCAGCAGTGCACTAGGGTTCCCTTTTCTCCACAACTTTGCCTACACTTGTCATTTGTTGATGATAGCCATTCTGACAGGTGTCAGTTGATACAACCAATGAATGATACAACTGCTTACCAGTAGTAGTACGCTCCTATATAGTGGGCTCTTGTTATTTTGTTGATGGTTTCTTCTGCTGTGCAGAAGCTTTTTATTTTGATGTAGACCCATTTGTTTATTTTCTCCTTAGTTTCCATTGTCCTAAGAGATGTATCAGTAAACATATTGCTACTAGAGATTTCTGAGATTTTGGTGCCTATGGCTTCTTCTAGGACTTCATGGTTTCATGTCTTACATTTAGGTCTTTTACCCATTTGGGGTTTATTCTTGTGTATGGTGTAAGTTAGTGGTCTAGTTTCTTTTCTTTCTTTTCTTTTTCTTTTTTTTTTTTTTGCCTGTATCTGTCCAATTTTCCCAACACCACTTATTGAAGAGATTGTCTCTGCTCCAATGTATGCTCTTGCCTCCTTTGTCAAATAGTAATTGAACACAGTTGCTTGGGTCAATTTCTGCGTTCTCTGTCCTGTTCCATTGACCTATATGCCTGTTCTTGGGTCAGTACCAGGCTGTTTTGAGCACAGTGGCTTTGTAATATAACTTGAAATCTGGTATTGTGATTCCTCTAACTTTGTTCTTCTTTCTCAACATTGCTGCAGTTGTTGTTTTTTTATGTTGTTACATATAAATTTTTGGAGTGTTTGTTCTACATCTGTGAAATATGCTATTGGTATTTTAATAGGGATTGCATTGAGTTTGTAGATTGCTTTGGGTCATATGAGCAATTTAAAAAATTTTGATTTCAGAGAGAGGAAGGGAGAAGGAGAGAGAGATAGAAATATCAATGATGAGAGAGAATCATTGATCAGTTGCCTCCTACACATCCCACACTGGGGATTGAGCCTGCAACCCTGGTACACACCTTGACCAGGAATTGACTGGGAATCGAACTGGGATCTCCTGGTTCCTAAGTCAACACTCAACCACTGAGACACACTGGCTGGAGTCCCTGGCCTCAGGGCCTGGGCTCATGTGGGAGGCAACCAATATGTATCTCTCTCATGTCAATGTTTCACTTTCCTTCCTTTACATTCTCCTAGGATCAATGGCAAAAATATCCTCAGGTGAGTGTTATAAATAATAAATAAGAAAATAAGTAAGTAAATAAATAAATAATCAGTTGAGTATTATAAGTAAATAAGTAAATAAATAAGTAAATAAGTGAATAAATGAACTATGGTCAATAGAACTAAGGCTGGAATGAATAGTCTCCAATGCCAAAGCAAGCCCTATGCCTTTAAAAACTGTCAGGAAGGCCATCAGTAAATCACAGTAGGGGTAAAGAAGTTTGAGAGTAAAGAGTGAAACAGCTGCTAAATAGTCCAAACAAGAAAGGCCCTATATTGCCCTGCTGGCATGGCTCAGTGATAAGAGTATCAACTTATGAACCTGGAGGTCACAATTCGGTTCCTGATCAGGGCACGTGCAGGGGGTGTGCAGGAGGCAGCCAATCAATGATTTCTCTCTCCCTCTCTCTCTCTCTCTCTCTCTCTCTCTCTCTCTCTCTCTCTATACCACACACCAATCTCTATCTCCCCTCTCCTATCTCTCTCCCTATCTCCTCTCTATCTCTCTCTATCCTCTCTCTCTCTCTCTCTCCCTATCTCTCTCTCTCTCCCTCTCTCTCTCTCTCTCCCTCTCTCTCTCTCTCCCTCTCTCTCGCTCCTCCCCTCCTTCTCTCTCTTCTCCCTCTCTCTTCCTCCCCCCCTCCCCCCTCCCTCTCCCTCTCCCTCTCCCTCTCCCTCTCCCTTTCTCTCTGAAATCAATGAAAGTATATTTAAGAAAAATAAAAAAATACATATGAAAAAAAAAAGAGAGGCAATTAAGGCCCAGAATCAGGGGAGAAGTAACAGGAATAAAAATAAATAAATAAAATAAAATAAAAAGAGGAGGGGCAAGCAATGCATAGGTCAGAGTTTTCTTCCAATGGGGCTGTGCAGGCCTAAGGGCTGCAGCTTACACTGGATGGGGGTTTCATGGGGTTTGTTCTATGCTTTTGGCCCATAACATACAAACTATTCTGCGCCTCTTCAAAATATTAGCCCCTGGTGTCCACTGGCAGTATCATGAAATAGACATTATGATGGCACTGTATCTTTTAAAAAAAATCCCCTTTTGTAGCACTTCCTTAAAAACAGCTATTTAATGCAACTCTGCAGCGAGCTCTTGACAGTTCTGTCTTAACCATTCCGATATTCATGAAACATCATTGTAAAGGGTTGAGGTGCCTTCCTGGTAAGTGTTACGCTTATTTTTTTTCAAAGCATCTTGTAAAAACGGTTATTAATTTTCTCCTTTGGTCTAACGAGTGTTTTCTATTTACTGCCTGTCCTGATAAGAGATATATTAAGCAGCTGAGTGATCAATACGTTTTCAAACTTTTTTCTTCCCTTTGAGTTTGTTACTTTTGAGAGTTGTGGCAGTTTTGTGGGGTATTGTAGTAAAAAAGGAGTAGCTTCATTTAAGTATTTAATTCAAAGTACAACACTCATGTATTTGCTTTGGCACTTGCGAGTAGAGGCATATTTCATTAAAGTCATTGATGCGTGGCTTTTGAAAAAATACATTTCCCCCCAGTTTTTTTGAGGTACAATTAATGTATAATATTTTATAAAGTTAAGGTGTACAACATGATGATTTAATATAAACAATTATTAGGAAATGATGACCACAATAATATTAGTTAACACCCATCATCTCAATAGTTTCCTATTTTATGGCTTTTCTTTTCATATTCTCTTTTTACTGGCATGATATAGTGATTTCAAAGAGCTGAACAGAATTTTTGTATTTGACTTATTGATGTGTTTTGGATATGCATAATAATAACATTAGATCCCATCATCTCATTGTACAATGCCGTCATATTAAATATTAGAGTAAATTCATTGTGTTTGCAGGATAAATGTTAACAACTTGTATAAAGAGTCGTTAGGTGTGCTAAATGAAGGATAAGCAATGTTAGTTATAATGTTGTTATGTGTATTTATCTCTGTGTGTGAAGTTTTATAGAAAGTATAGTTAAAAAGTTAAAAAACATTTAATGTGGGTCAGTGTGATAATTGTTTATTTAAAACAAAATCTAAATTACTTATAGAGATAAGAAGAAGATAATATAAAATTATGGATCAGGGTTCTTAATTCAGGATTTTAGGAAGTCCATGGGTGGGTTTAAAAGGCTATATCTTATTTGTGATATAATTTTACATTTTATAAAAGAAAAAGTGTGTCTTGCCATATCCGGTTTGGCTCAGTGGCTAGAGCATTGGCCTGCGGACTCAAGGGTCCCAGGTTCAATTCTGGTCAAGGACATGTACCTTTGTTGCAGGCACATACCCAGTAGAGAGTGTGCAGGAGGCAGCTTATCGATCGATGTTTCTCTCTCATCGATGTTTCTAACTCTATCTCTCTCCCTTTCTCTCTGTAAAAAATCAATTAAAAAAAAGTGTGTCTTTCCCCAGATTCTCTGAAGGCTCTACAACATCAGAAATGTTTTAAAAAATTACTGCTAAAAACAAATAGCTATGTGTAAGGTAGAAAATGATTTTGATTATCAGAATTTAGAAATACTTTTAAATATTTAAATATATACCTGAGTTGTTTCTGTATTCTCCTATATGCTAAACCATGTAGGAAATTAATTCTATTTAGTTTTTTTAAATTGAAGTTTTGTAATGCTAGAACAGCAAAAAAAAAAAAATGTTTATAGGAAGAAAATTTGTACTCATCATATAGGATTCAGATGGTGCTTTTGGTTTATGTAAGACATTTTTAGAAAAAAATTTGAGTAAGATCTTTCAAGTCAGAGGAAAATTAAATAGAGACACTTTGTAATTTCAGTTTTTAAATCTTAATCTTTTTCAGAATTGCCAAATTAATAAGAAGTATGGTAAGTGGTCATCTAAAAATCTTTATTCATCCTCCATTTTGAAAATACATGGATCAAATTAATAAGAGCAAGCAATGGCTTGCACAACAGTTCTACTTTAAATTATTTATCTACTAGAGGCCTGGTACATGAAATTTGTGTGTGTATGGGCGGTCCCCTCAGCCTGTCCTGCATCTTTTCAAACCGGGAATTGGATATCCCTTTCACAATCTGGGACCACTGGCTCCTAACCGCACACCTGCCTGCCTGCCTGACTGCCCCTAACCACTCTGCATGCCTGTCTGATCGCCCCTAACCCCTCTGTCTGCCAGCTAGGTCTCCACTAACTGCGCTTCCCTGCCAGCCTGATCACCCCTAACTGCAATTGCCCCTACCTGCCCTTTCTGCATGCTTGCTTGCCCCTAATTGCTCCCGACTGCCAGCCTGATCGCCCTTAACTGCCTCTGCCTCAGCCCCCTCTGTGGCTTTGTCTGGAAGAAAGGAAGGACGACCAGAAGATGTCCAGTCGACCCAGTCTAATTAGCATATTACTTTTTTATTAGTATAGATTTTTTTTATTTCAGAGAGGAAGGGAGAGGGAGAGAGAGAGAGAAACATCATTGATGAGACGATCATTGATTGGCTGCCTCCAGCACACCCCCTACTGGGGATCAAACCCAAAACCCAGATATGTGCCCTTGACCGGACTTGAACCCAGGACCCTTCAAGATTTAAAAACCAAAATTAAAAAGTGTCTCTATTTAATCAGTCTGCAGGCTGATGCTCTATCCACTGAGCCAAACCGGCTAGGGCTAGTTTTTGAAATTCAGAGAATTTCGGCCCTGGCAAGTTTGGCTCAGTGGGTGGTGCATCACCCCTGGTACCAAAAGGTGCCATGTCTTGGTTGCAGGCTTGATTAGAGGCATTTGTGGGAGGCAACCAATTGCATCAATGTTTATTTCTCTGTCTCTCCCCCTCCCTTTCACTCTCTAAAAATCAATGGAAAAATATTCTTGGTTGAGGATGAACAAAAGAAAAAAGAAATTAAGAGCATTTTGTTCTTAAGTAACATTTCAGATTCTGTTTGATTAAAAATATTTTTTTATATTTTATTGAATTTTTTTTTTTTTTACAGAGGAAGGGAGAGGGATAGAGAATTAGAAACATCGGTGGGAGAGAAACATCAATCAGCTGCCTCCTGCACACCTCCTACTGGTAGATGCCCTTGACCAGAATCGAACCTGGGACCTTTCAGTCCACAGGCTGATGCTCTATCCACAAAGATAATTAATTTTTATCCCTTTTTCCAAATCAATCTCCAGTTCTACAATTCCTTGAAAAATTTTATAAGAATGTTAAAATACTTTACTATAGCTACAAGGAGGTAGGCAGTTTGATTCCTGGTCAGGGCACATGCCCAGGTTGGAGGCTCAATCCCCAGCATGAAGTGTGTAGGAGGCAGCTGATTGATGATGATTCTTTTTTAAAATTGTAATCCTCACCTTCACCCGAAGATATTTTTCCATTGATTTTTAGGGAGATGAACAGACAGAAACATCCATGTGAGAGAAACACATGATTGGTTGCCTCCTGCATCAGGGCTCAGGCCTGGGAGGAGCCTGCAACCCAGGTAGGTGCCCTTGACCAGAACTGAACCCAGTATCCTTCAGTCTGCAGGCCGATGCTCTACCTACTGAGCCAAACCAGCTATGGCAATAATGTTTCTATCTTATCAGTTCTCTCTCTCTCTTTTTCCCTTTCTTTTCCTCTTACCCTAAAAATCAATAAAAAAAGATTAAAAAAATACTATACTATATAGTATGAATATTAGTCTCCAAATATGATATTATAGAGCACTGGCTCTCAATCAGGGTTGAATTTGTCCCCAGGGGTATATTTAACTATATTTGAGACATTTTGTCTGTCAGAGCTATTGAAGTACTCCTGGAAGCTAGTAAGTGGATGGAGGCCTGGGATTCTGCTAAACATCCCACAATGCCCAGGACAGGGTCTACTTCCCCCCCCAACAAAGACTTGGCCAACCTAAAATGTCAATAGTGCCATGGTTGAGAAACCCTCCAATTGGTAATTTTTGCAACTTCAGAGTGTTGCCATTGTTCTTACAGGCTTCTGTCGAACAAGATAGGCTGGGCCAAGCATTTGAAGATGCTTTTGACGTGTTGAGGCAACATTCAACTGGCAATCTTCAGTACCCTCCAGGTAAGATGTTAGCCTCTTCTACTGCCACATCAAATGGCTGGTTGGTAACATACATATGCAAGAATAATGATAAGAACAGAGAAGACTGTTTTTCCCCAATGCAGCTAGAATTAATTCTAACAAAGGCAAAATGCATCCAGGTTTGCCTAGCCTAAATCAATCTAAAGTCTTATATATAAAATGCAGAATACATAGAGAATGACATTCCACACAGGAATACTAAGACATATGAATCTTTTTTATTAAGTACTAGAGGCCTGGTGCACAAAATTCATGCACAAGGGCAGAGGGGTCCCTCAGCCTTGCCTGCACCTCTTGCAAACCAGGACCTCTCGGAGGATGTCTGACTGCTGGTTTAGGCCTGATCCCACAGGGATCTCTGCAGAATTGGGCCTAAAACGGCAGTCGGACATTCTTCTCACAATCTGGGACTGCTGGCTCCTAACTTCTTGCCTGCCTGCCTGCCTGCCTGCCTGATCGCCCCTAACCACTTATCTGCCTGCCTGATTGCTTCTAACCACCTGCCTGCCTACATGATCATCTCTAACCATTCTCCTGCCTGCCTGATCGCCCCTAACCACTCTGCATACCTGCCTGATTGTCCCTAACCACTCTGCCTGCCTATCTGATTGCTCCTAATGACTCTGCCTGCCTGATCACCCCTAACCACCTCTGCCTCAGCCCCTGGTGCTGTGGCTTCATCCAAAAGGACATCTGGAATGATATTCGGAAGGTCATTTGGCTGTCAGGTCTAATTAGCATATTATGCTTTTATTTTTATGGATATTGACATTTTCAGAAAGGGCTTTTCAATTCTAATTTATTTTATTTTTTATTTTATTATTTAAAAAAATGTATTTTATTGATTTTTTACAGAGAGGAAGGGAGAGGGATAGAGAGCTAGAAACATCGAGGAGAGAGGAACATTGACCAGCTGCCTTCTGCACACCCCCTACTGGGGATGTACCTGCAACTAATGTACATGCCCTTGACCGGAATCAAACATGGGACCTCTCAGTCTGCAGACCGAGGCTCTATCCACTGAGCCAAACCGGTTTCAGCTCTAATTTATTTTAAAAGACCTTCCACCCAAGGAAAATATATTTTACTGGAAAAAATAAGTATGCTATTCTTTTGTACCTATTATCCCATAGACCAGGCGTCCTCAAACTTTTTAAAGTGGGGGCCAGATCACGGTCCCTCAGAGAGCTGGAGGGCCGGACTATATGAACTACTAATTCCTACTGTAACACCTCGGCTGCACTCACTGCCCAAAAAACCTGGCTGGCCGGCTCAGACTCCTCTGCGGGCCGCATGTGGCCCGCGGGCCGTAGTTTGAAGACGCCTGCCATAGACTATATAGATATATAGCATAAATAAGATGCAGATATTTTAAAAATTGAGTTTACACATGGTATTGCAGGAAGTTCCAAGATATAAGAACTCATGCGTTCTCATCCTGCAAGGAGCGTGTACTCTTGTGGAAGAAATAGAATATGTAAAAACTTATCTGTAATACCAGCATAGTTCAATAAACACCCTAGGGAAATGCTAAGTGATGAAAAGAACATGGTGGAAACAATCCAATCTAATAAAGAGGAAATATGCCAGTTGAGCGTCACTCCAACACACTAGATAGCTGCCCCATGTGGACATGAGATGGCCACTACAAGATGGCCAGAAGGGGAGGGCAGTTGTGGGCGATCAGGCCAGCAGGGAGGATAATTAGGGGTGAGTGGGCTGGCAGAGGAGGACAGTTGTGGGGGACCCAGGCCTGCAGGGGAGGGCAGTTGCAAGGGACAAGGACTATAGGGGAGGGCGGTAGTGGGTGACCAGGCTGGCAACAGAGGGTAGTTAGGGGTGACCAGCCCAGCAAGAAAGGGAAGTTGGGAGCAATCAGGCCTGCAGGGGAGGACAGTTAGGGGCAATTGGGCTGGCAAGGTAGGGCAGTTAGGGGCAACCAGGCTGGCAAGAGAGGGAAGTTAGAGGTGACCAGGCCTGCAGGGGAGGATAGTTAGGGGCAACCAAGCCTACAGGGAAGGGCAGGTGGGGGTGACCAGGCCAGCAGGAGAGGGCAGTTAGGGGAAATAGGGCCAGCAGGGGAGCAGTTAGGCATCAATCAGGCTGGCAGAGGAGTGGTTAGGGGTAATCAGGCTGGCAGGCAGATGTAGTTAGGGGCAATCAGACAGGCAGGCAGGCGAGCAGTTGGGAACCAGCAGACCTGGATTATGAGAGATGCCCGACAGTCAGATATCCCTTGAGAGGTCCCAGATTGGAGAGGGTGAAGGCTGGGCTGAGGAACACCCCCTCCCCCCATGCACTAAGCCCCTAGTTGTATACATAAGCATATACGTATAAGCACATATACATACAAACATAAACTTTATCTTCTTAAATTTCTTTCTGCTTTTACATTAGATTGCAAAGACTACGTGACTGTCTTCAACCACTGCCCTCCTGTTGTAGGAAGTCCCAGCTACTACAATTTGCTTTCTTCAGAGCAACCTGTCTATAACTGGAAAACAGTGTTTGTGAGTATACACACCAGGAGGCCTCCCTCCTCCCCTTCTCCCCCCTCAGTAACAGGTACATTTCCCTTTTGCACCGGATTTCCCCTTGGCACTAGGTATATGGTAGCTGAAACCCAGCTGAAAGACAGCACAGACTGCAAACGCTTATTCATGGCTGCTTACTCATGGCCACCATCAATCAGGGTATGAATTTGACAGGCAATGTGGGTGGTGCTGAGCAGTGCTGTGAAGAAGGAAACTGCCCTTTGCTATTGCTCCTCACCCAGCCGCAGACTGGTTCAAATGACTTCTAGAAAGAGGAGGTGCTTTCAAGGATCTAACATCACTGCTTCTCTTAAATCCGTCTGGAAAATTGCAGAACAGCTATGATGGGTCCCTAAAAACCAGACGGTAAAGGCCCTGACATCCCCTGCCCTGACTTTACCTACAATTTTGTATTCATCTGTTCTATTCCCCCACCCCCCAAGCACTAACTACATGTATTGGGCCAATTAATTTATATTTTAGTAGCTTCCTGCAAAAGTAAATATCCCCACCATCTCCCCCCATTTTATTGATTTTTGTACAGAGAGGAAGGGAGAGAGATAGTTAGAAACATCGATGAGAGAGTCATCGGTCAGCTGACTCTTGCACACCCCCTACTGGGGATATGCCTGCAACAAAGGTACATGCCCTTGACCAGAATCGAACCCGGGACCTTTCAGTCCCCAAGCCAACACTCTATCCATTGAGCCAAACCGGTTTTGGCTCGTGTGTTCTTTTACATTGTTCTGATGTGTCCATTTTAGTAAAGCAGTCTTAATGTAGTGGGGAGTAAATAGGAAATGATTTTTCCTTTTCTTCTGTCATTATTTGCAACCGTGCTATGCAAAAATCTTCTTTTCTGACCCTGCGAATTGTTCTGTCATGGCCTTTCCACGAGACATTTCTTTGAAGAGGGAGTTTTTGCTTCCAGCTTAAGCTCTTCTGACTCCATTTAGGGTTGCCAGGTAAAATACAGGATGCCCAATATTTCTATTTGCTAAATCTGGCAATCCTCCTTCTGCTTCGATACACACACTGCACTGCCTCTTGTGGATGGGAGGTCCTTACCTGTTGGGCAGCCCTGTTGCATGGGGCGTGGTAAGATCACTCAAGTTCAGCCCCTTCCACCCATGTAGATCCACATGTCCTTGTCCTACTGTATGGTAGGAACTCCTGTCCCCTTTCTTCGCTCTGCCCTCCTTTGGTTGCCTTCTTTCTCCTCTTATCTCCTCTTGCCTGGATGGGCATTTAAAGCAAGAATGGAAATCCATCTCTCCTTTTTGCTGACACTTAAATTCAGCAAAACTGATTCTTTTTGGACTTGTGTTCTCATTGGTATTTTTAGGGGAGGGAAGCCACCCTCTGTACTTCCTCATATGGAGAGGACACTATGGAACTCCTCAGAAACCCAAAGATGACCCTTCATGGCTAGGTCCTCTGCATATATGCTAGTTCTGCCCTGGGAGAGATGTGGCTGCAGCTGAGGGGTAGTGCTTTGGAGAATCTGGAGGATGTTTAACACTCTTGTCCCCCAGCTTTTGACTTTAGCCACATAGAAAGTCCCACTTAACTTCCTGCTGCTTTGTTTGTATAGAACCATCCTGTGGACCTCCGTCTTGAAGGGAATATTCATCCATCTTTGCAGAACATCCCTGAAAACCAGGTGGTACAAGCTCCTGTTCTCCAGCAAAAGGGAGGAAAAGGTACATGGATCCATCATGTAAAAGAACCGGGTCCCCCTCAAAGCAGTTTTAAGGGGATTCCTTATCTGTTTGGAATTGTATTTGCAACATATTCTCTAATCACGATTGAGCATAATTTAACTCAGACAGATTGAACTACTCCAAGTTGTTCATCAATGATGAGCTTTTGCTTCATAGAGATATTGTAAAGTTGCAAAGTATCCACTTAGCTCAACTAAATACATAATGTGTATATATTGTATTTTAGGTATCGAAAGGGGAATTTTTCACAAGTTATTTTAGAATTCTTATTTCAGTTGTGAAGTCCTTGGGATAAAAATCATCTTCTTTATTAAGTTTTCTGCAAAAAATGTTCTATAATAATTTGATATTTTGCCGAAACTGGTTTGGCTCAGTGGATAGAGCGTCAGCCTGCAGACTGAAAGGTCCCAGGTTCGATTCCAGTCAAGGGCATGTACCTTGGTTGCGGGCACGTTCCCAGTAGGGGGTGTGCAAGAGGCAGCTGACCCGATGATTCTCTCTCATCGATGTTTCTAACTCTATCCCTCTCTTTTCCTCTCTGTAAAAAAATCAATATAATATATTAAAAAAATAATAATTTGATATTTTATAAATTTGAACAACTGATGTGAGAGAAACATGGATCAGTTGCCTCCCATATGCCCCCAACCAGGGATTGAACAGAAAACCTAGGTTATGTGCCCTGACCAGGAATCGAACTCTCAACCTTTAGGTGTATGGAACAACACTCCAACCTAGTCACCTGGCCAGGTCATCCTTTAGAATATGCATGTTTGTATATGCAAAAAGTAAGAAAAACACTTTCTAGAAATATGTAGGATAGACTAGAACTTTTACTTTTCACTTTATGCTTCTCCTTAATCATTTATCATGAGCATATAATATTTTATTAATAAATAAAAATTTAAACATTTTTTTTAAAAAGCTGAGGATCCATTATAATTTTTTAAAATATATTTTATTGAGTTTTTACAGAGAGGAAGAGATAGAGATAGAGAGTTACAAACAGCGATGAAAGAGAAACATCGATCAGCTGCCTCTTGCACACCCCCAACTGGGGATGTGCTCGCAACCAAGATACATACCCTTGACCAGAATCAAACCTGAGACCTTTCAGTCCGCAGGCGGAGGCTCTATCCACTGTGCCAAACCGGTTTCGGCTGGATTCATTATAATTGATTTAACCGCTGGATAAGAGGCAGTGAGTTTGTTTAAGGTTGTGACTTTTAATTCATGATTTGTTTTTGGTAAGTCCCTTTCATTTCTCAGTTCATAAACTCAAGATAATACAATGCAAAAGATAATTGTAAAAAAAAAACAACTTTTGAGGTTTTTGGATGACTAATGACTGATGCAAGAGTATGTCTCCCCAGTGGCTATTTAAAGTGGTTTAGAAATCCACTATTTTAATTTCTCAAGGGGGAAATGGAATTTGGCCATGGATCTTTTTAATTTTATTTATTTTTTTAAGCTCCTGACAGATCTGATGAGGCATGGCATTTATAGGCCAAACCCCAAGTTACAAAACTGGTGGTCACCTCTGTTCTCTGTTCCACTAAAAATATCCCATTAACCAACCAAAAACCACAACAAATCTTCCTGAAGTTTCCTGTCTAGTAGTTCTAAAATATAAAGGGCTAGGCTCCTAACAAGAAACACTCTGACAGTGCCATTTTATGTAACCGTAATGAAAAAATATTACAATGCCCATTGTCATTGCTCATAAACAGTATTCAAATGTCATAAATATATTTCAGCATTTTCCACACCAGTTTTCTCTATACTTGATTTTTCAAGAAATTATGCAGACCCAGAGTTCGCATTTTTACCTTAGTCACTGCTATTGAATTCACTTAGATTTGCATAATGTTTTGCCTTTGACAAAAAGGATTCATACTCCTTACCTCATTTTGACAACTCATTTGAATAAAGACCTTCAAATGACTTGCTTTCTGAAAATAGCTTTTGGGGCTTCTCTTGAAGACCACTACACTTGGTCACCCATTTTGCTCAGTTTCTTTGGTCTGTAGAAAGTTTTAACACTTGATATAAAAATACTAGTTAAGATTTAGCTAGATAAATGGGAGATTCAGGTAAAGAGGTTCCAGGCTTCTTTATCATTGAAGGATGATGCAGGATTTTTTGACAATTTTCCCAAAAAATAAAGGTCCAGTTGAAAGTTCAAGGTCCAAAAGACCCTTGACTTTCAAGTCCCATAAAATGATGCCCTAAATGCATGCCTATGTGAATGAGAAGGAGGGAAACCAGTCCCAGAACAGCTTTTCATGTTGTCGTCAGTCAATAAACTCTTCCTGAGGATGTTCCTTGGTACAGCAATGAGTAGAGTGTGATGTTGTTTTCCTCCATTTTAGGCAGGAAGAAGCTCCGACTGTTTGAATACCTATATGAATCTTTGTGTAATCCTGAGATGGCATCTTGTATTCAGTGGGTAGATAAAACCAAAGGCATCTTTCAGTTTCTATCAAAAAACAAAGAAAAACTTGCCCAACTTTGGGGCAAAAGAAAAGGCAACCGGAAGACCATGACTTACCAGAAAATGGCCAGAGCCCTGAGGAATTATGGAAGAACTGGGGAAATCACCAAAATCCGGAGAAAACTAACTTACCAATTCAATGAGGCCATTCTCCAAAGACTCTCTCCATCTTATTTCTTGGAAAAAGACATTTACTCACAGTACGTTCAACCTGGTCAAGGATATTTGAGTTTAAATAGCTGGAATGCAAATTGTAACTATCCATATACCAATCACTATGAGCTGAGTTACCCTAATTGCTAAATATAATCTTACATATGATTTCCTAACATCAGAAATCCCCAAACCCACAATACAATGTATAACTAATAAATTATAGAATTATATACTACATAATTTTATTAACCAGTCACCCTGAAAGAATTCAATAAAAATTAAAAAACATATTTATAAGTTTCAGTATTTTTCTCTTTTATATTTAAATCTTTTATTGTTCAGTATTACACATATGCCCTCTTTTCCCTTCTAGCCCACCCCAGCCCTTCATCACCCTATTGTGTGTGTCCATGCATTATGCATATATGCATACAAGCTCTATGGTTGATCTATTCCCACCCACCATTCCTCTGAGATTCTATAGTCTGATCCATGCTTCTATGTTTCTGGATCTATTGTATTTTGTTCATGAGTTTATTTTGTTCATTAGATTCCACATATGAATGATTTCATGTGATACTTGTCTTTCTCTGACTGGCTTGTTTTGCTTAGCACAATACTCTCCAGATTCCTCCATGATGTCTCAAAGGTAAGAGACCCTTCCTTTTTACTGCTGCACAGTATTCCATGGTGTAAATGTACCACAGCTTTTTTATATGCTCATCTCCTGATGGGCACTTGGCTTGTTTCCAGATCTTAGCTATTGTAAATTGCACTGCTATGAACACAGGGGTGCATACATTCTTTCTGGGTGATGTTTTGGCTTTCTTAGGATATATTCTAGAAGGGGGATTACTGGGTCAAATGGCAATTCCATATTGAATTTTTTGAGGAAACTCCACAATGTTTTCCATAATGGCTGCACCAGTCTACATTCCCACCAGCATTCTACTAGGGTTCTCTTTTCTCCACACCCCCACAGGCACTTGTCATTTGGTGATATGTTGATGGTAGCTATTCTGACAGGTGTGAAGTGATACCTCATTGTCATTTTAATTTGTATCTCTGTTGACCAGTGATTTTGAGCATTTTTTCATGTCTTTTGGCCATCTGTATGTCCACTTTGGAGACGTGTCTATTTAGGTCCTTTGCCCATTTTTAATTTGGATTGTTAGTCTTCCTTTTGTTAAGTTGAATGAGTTCCTTATATATTTTAGATAATAGCTCTTTATCAGTTGTATCATTGCCAAACATTTTCCCATTCAGTAGGTTGCCTTTTCATTTTGTTGACAGTTTCTTTTGCTGTGCAGAAGCTTTTTATTTTGATGCAGTCCCACTGGTTTATTCTCTCCTTAGTTTCCTTTGCCCTAGGAGATATATCTGCAAACATATTGCTATGAGAGATGTCTGAGATTCTGCTATGTATGGGTTTTATGGTTTCATGAGTAACATTTAAGTCTTTTATCTATTTTTAGTTATTTTTGTGTATGGTGTAAGTTGCTGGTCTAATTTCACTTTTTTTTGCTTGTATCTGTCCAATTTTCCCAACATCATTTATTGAAGAAATTGTCTTGACATTGTATGCTTTTGCCTCCTTTGTCAAATCAATTGAACATAATGGCTTGGGTTGATTTCTGGGGTCTCTGTTCTGTTCCATTTATCTATATGTCTGTTCTGTGGCAGTACCAGGCTGTTTTGATTACAGTGGCTTTGTAGTATAATTTGATATCTGGTGTTGTGATCCCTCCAACTTTGTTCTTCTTTTTCAGTATTACTGTAGCTATTTGGGATTTTTTGTTGTTATTGTTGTTGTCCCATGTAAATTTTTGGAGTATTTGTTCTAATCTGTGAAATGTGCTAATGGTATTTTAATAGGCATTGCATTGGATCTGTAGGTTGCATTGGATAGTATGGACATTTTAATGATGTTGATTCTACCAGTCCATGAACATGGTATATTCTTACATTTGCTTCGATCTTGCTCTATCTTTTTTTTCAACATCTTATAGTTTTCTGAATATAAGTCTTCTTACTTCCTAGGTTAAATTTATTCCTAAGTATCTTAAGTTTTATGTTGCAATAGTAGATGCTTATTTAGTTTCTTTTTCTGAGAGTTCATTGCCATTGATTTCTTGGTGTTAATTTGTATTTTGCTATATTGCCAGATTGTTCATTAGATCTAATAGTTTTTTGGTGGTATCCTTAGGTTTTCCTATGTATATTTTTATGTCATCTTCACATAATAGTTTTATTTCCTCCTTTCCAATTTGGATACCTTTTATTTCTTCATGTCTGATCACTGTGGCTAGAACTTCCAGTACTGTGTTGAATAAGAGTGGTAAAAGCAGACATCCCTGACTTGTTCCTGTTCTTAGGGAAAATGGTTTTGCTTTGGCCCAGTGAGTAGGATATTGGCTCTTTTTTTTTTTTTTCTTCATCAGTTTAGGAAAGTTTGCTGCCGTTATTTCTTCAAACACATTTTCTATCCCTTTCTCACTTTCTTCCCCTCTGGCACTCCTATGAAATGGATATCGTTATGTTTCATGTTGTCCCACAACTCCCTTAAGCTGTCCTTGTGTTTTTTAATTTTTTTTTTTCTTTTTGGTTCTCTGATTGAGTGATTTTTTTTTTTTTCTCTACCCTATCATATAATCCACTGATCTGATACTCAGCTTCCTCTAATCTGCTGTGTATTCCTTCCAATGTGCTCCTTTTTAGTGCTATAACATTCCTTCTGACTGGTCTTTTTTCACAGTTACTATATCTTTTTCTCATGCTGTTGAGCATCCTTGCCATCATTATTCTGAACTCTATGTCTGATGAATTTATTATTTTCATTTCATTTAGCTATTTTTCTGGAGAATTCTCTTGTTTGTCTTCCCATTTTGGCTGCCTGTTTGGGTTTGTGTCTATGTATTAAGTAGATCTGCTATGACTCCCAACCTCTAGTGAAACACCATTTCAGATACAGTTTCTGACTGGCCCTGAGTCCCCTGTTTGGAGCTATCAGCAACCCACAGCTTGAAGCTTCCTCTGTGGGGGCTGGCTGCCTTTGGAAAGAACCAAGATGTGCACTAAGGTCTGCTTTTTCTATCGCAGGCCCTGAATTAGATCAGGCAAAGACTTATAGGCTCCAGATAACCTGCCTCTGCCTGCAGTCCTATTGTTATTCAGTCTGATTAACCTCAGACTATCTGCCACAGGATGAGGTGAGAGGTTTTCCAACAGGGTAGGGCAATTGCCTCTGCCTGCAAGCTGATTGTTATTCTCACTCTCTTAATGGGCCTCATAAGCTCCACAGGGTAGGTCAATGGTTTTCCAATAGGGTAAGGCAATTGCTTCTGCCTCTCCACTCCAGGCAAAATCTGCCTGGATGGTAAAGGTCTGCTGGAGAAAGATGTCCTCTGCAATATGAGGGAAATGACTCAGCACAGGAAATGGGTGTCTGTCTTCTGAGTTATAATCCCAGAGCCCTCAACCCTGGCTTCTGTTCACACAGTCCAATCCACTCTGCCTTCCCTCTAGGTGAGTGGCTGCACATGTAATTTTGTGTATTGGCTATTTAAGAGGTTGCCTGTATTCCCATCTCTCTCTCCCTGGCAGACAGTAACCCTGATGCTATTCACAGCCAGATGTTCTGTGGTCACCTTTCTCAGTTCTGCTGCCCTGGACTGGGGAGCCCAGCTTGGGTTTAGACCCCAGAGTTCTCAGTGGGAACTCCCCACAGCTGTGATATCCTTTCAGAACTTCAGTTGCTGTCTATGACAGTGGACCAACCCTTTCACACCTCTGTACTTCCTACCAGTCTCTAAGCAGTCTCCATTTTTCATCCTTGGTTATCAGGGTTCTCTCCAGCTAGACTTCAGTTGATTATTCAGGATGGTTTTTCTGTATTTTAGTTATAAGTCCAGTTTGGTACTGGAAGCAAGTCAGTGTAGTTTCCACTTATTCGGCTGCCATTTTGGAATCTCCAGTATTTTTCTCTCTCTCTTTTTTTTTTTAAAAATATATTTTATTGATTTTTGTACAGAGAGGAAAGGAGAGAGATAGAGAGTTAGAAACATCGATGAGAGAGAGTCATCGATCAGCTGCCTCTTGCACACCCCCTACTGGGGATATGCCCGCAACCAAGGCACATGCCCTTGACCGGAATCGAACCCGGGGCCCTTCAGTCCCCAAGCCGAGGCTCCATCCATTGAGCCAAACCGGTCCCGGCCAGTATTTTTCTCTTAATGCAAATGTTGAAGAGAAGAACTTCATTGTTGTTATTTTTTAGTAAATAGCATATAATTGCCTAGCCAGTGTGGCTCAGTGGCTGAGTGTTGAGTCATGAAAGAGGAGGTCATGGTTTGATTCCCAGTCAGAAAATCATGCTGAGGTTGCAAGCTCAATCCCCGTAGGGAGCATACAGAAAGTAGTCAATTGATGTTTCTCTCATGGATGTTATTATCTCACTATCCTTCTCCCTTCCTCTCTCTGAAGTCAATAAAAACATATTTAAAAAAAATAAAAGCTTAGCAACTTGGTGAGATATTCTCTCAGCAAAAGATAAAATGATCAAGGCTCATATGAAAGCATAGCCTAAATGTCCTTGCTCTTAGTATTGACTATATACAATACTTCTATCAGTGTTTCCCAAAGTGTGATATGCGTACCCCCAGGGGTACGGGAAGAGTTTGGTGGGGGTACGCGTTGCACCGGAGTTTGTTGGGGATATGCACTGCACGTGCTTAGCTGCGCCTAATTCTACGTTCTCATGAGTATGAGGGGTACTCAGTGTTACGAAAATTATAGAAGAAATACACATATGTCAAAAGCTTGGGAAACATTGTATGTCTGAAGAGATTACTTGACTTATATATTCACTTAAACATTTTCCTGCCATACTCAACAAAAAAAACCTCACTAACACATTATGGCTTTAGCAATAAAACCAAAACTAATTGTGATAATAGTGTTTATTTTATGCTAATATACGCTTAATGGCTTTATAATCTTCAGTAGCTATCCTGAACTGATATTTTTCTCTGCACTTGGGACCTTATGATCTATAACCTGTGGTGCCAAAGAACAATGGTCTAAGGCAGTGGTCAGCAAACCGCTGTTCTCGAGTCATATGCGGATCTTTGGCCCCTTGAGTGTTCTAATGCCACTTCTTCAAAATAGACTCTCCCAGCTGAAACTGGTTTGGCTCAGTGGATAGAGCATCAGCCTGTGGACTGAAAGGTCCTGGGTTTGATTCCAGTCAAGGGCATGTACCTTGGTTGTGGGCACATTCCCAGTGGG